GACATCGGTTAACGGAAAGTGCGATAAACCGGATTCCCCTAGTTTGCCACGCTTAGAGGCGGAATATTCTTTTCAAATTTATTTGAAACCAATACTAAGGTACCCTCTCTCCAACAAAAAAAATTCCTCAAAATCGGTTCACTAATGCCGGAGCAATCGCGTAAACATACACAAAATAAAATGAAGTCGAATTGAGTACCTCTTCCTTTTTGAAATCGGTTAAAAATACGCCTGATACTTATTTGCGCCAAAAAACGGTACAAGAAAAACTGAAATGTTCAAACTACCGAGCTAAGTGCTTTAAAGCTTACACTGTGTTAATGATTAGACATTTAGATAAACGAGTTTTACCATTACTTGCGTTGAAGAATCCTGCTACAAACAGTGTACAAAAACGAAACTTGCTAATAGATTCAGGCATTACTATGTATGTATAATATACTCCACATGGTGTCGCCTATACGCGAGGGAGGTTGTCATGTCCAATATATTTTTGATGGTGTTATCGTGACTGCTGTTGCGCTTGTGTTATTTTAATAATTTTGTGCGGAGAAAGAGTGGAAAAATTAAATACATGACAAAAATATTCAACTGCCACTTTGAAAATTTAATCGCTATTGGCTACGCGAAGTAGCGAGTTAATTTACTTCCACTTTTATTAACGGAATTTATTAAAGAATTGTTCATTACTGTTTGGTGGTTTAACCGTGGAGTAATCCACTGCAGCTTCTATAGATCTACGAGCGGTTACAAACGGCGAATTATAACAAACGCGATGCAGTAGCGATGCAATCGCTAATCCTCTTCCTTTACACACACGCGCGCAATTGCATCGATGCAATCACGCGTTTGCATCACTGCTAAAAGTCGCCATGTTAACCATTCCACTAATAACTAGTAAAGTAAGTAATTAAAGCACTTGTATTAGGGAAATCGGACGATGGTGTGGTGAACAAACACCTATACCTGAAACAATAGAAAAAATAGTTTTCTACAATGACTCGGCCGGGGATCGATCCCGAGATGGCGACACCATGAAAATCGATGTACAAGCCACTCGACCACTGAGGTCGTAGGATGAATGCTTCTAAGAAATATGCAAACTGTGATAGTAAAACCGGAACTTAAGTAACTATTGCTAGTCAACTAATCTTCATTACTACTTCCACACGATTATGCCAGACCGTATACAGCCGAGGCCTTCGCTACCCTCCCTATCTGACTTGACCCTAAACAACAAGTTTTTCCGCAATTACGGTAATTTATCTGCGTGGTAAACAATTTAGTACTCGTGAATCAGACGAAATGAGTTTCGAAACGTGGTCTAACTACATCCTACAATTCTACCGTGAAGGTACAAGTTAGCTTCCAGCAAAATAGCTGTGGCCGTCGTATGGCTGAATATGTGTGATAAACCTCCCCATGACAATATTTAATTCAGTTGATAAATCTAAATTTGCTTATTTGGTAATGAGCTATTAAACATTTTCAAGAACAAGGACAACGATAAAAAAGTTGAGTATATAGCTATCTTTGTCGTTTAATCATCACCGCGAAAACGATGAAACAAAAAATGACAAAGCTACTTTTGCTCATTTTGTAATGAGCTATTGTTGTAATAATAATAATAAATATAATAAATAATTTATTTCGACCAACATGGATGCCAATGTGTGGGGAATTTCAACTCACTTGAACTCAATTGGGGCCTTTGTGGGGATTGGCACTATGTAGTTTTGGTTTGATTGGCCCTATGGCCTATTGACGCTATGCTAGAATGCCTGCATTGTCCCCACATAGCACCAATCCCCACAAAAACCCCAATCGAGCTCAAACAATTTGAAATTCCCCACACATTGACAACGCTGACCATAACATTACAAAGATTTAATACAATTAAACTCAAAAATAAAATTTAGTACAGAATTAAAATCAAAATTTAAATAAATAATAATCTTCTATCTTCGTCATTTAATCATCGCCGCGAAAACCATGAAACAAAAAATATATTTTTATTTCGTTTGTCTCGCTCACTTTTCACGTTGATAAAATTACTATGTAAATGTTTTAAAATCAACTGCGCCCTTGCAGCCACGTTTGGCACCGTGTTAATCTTTTGCAGTCATTGGTCACCAGCACTCGCAATGACATAAAAATGTGACGTCACCGTGCTCGCCATGTTCGCTATTGTGATAAAATTTTAAATTTTTGAAAGCCGGTTTACCACTTGGATCTAACACCTAAATGTGTACATAGTAGCTTTATCCAGGCGGCATACTACGGTGGCTGAAGTGTGTTAATAGCACGGGTATAGAGGATTATTTGCAAAATACTAACTTGGACTATATTGCAAACATCATACCAACTTATTTTCCATGACTTTATACAAAGCATAATAAATTGATCTAAAATAAACGTTTCAATTTTTTGTAATATCTGACACTTTTGAGATTTGTTTTACTTGTGTGCTTTCTTTTGCTACTGCACAGAGTTATCACCGTTTAGGGCGATGTATTGAAATTTTTTTGCTATCGTATGACAGTAAAACCTGATGAATTATTAAATGTCATCATACAAAAGTTGTTGTTAATGTTGTTAGTAATACGGTCCTATGACGTTTTTATTATTTTACAAATAAACCTGTATATTTATAAAGAAGCTTTAAATAAACAATAAAAGCTTAAATACTAAAAACTGAAACTAGGATTAGATTAGATAAATAAAATTGGGTCCCAGCGGCAAAGTGCCCAAGATGCTAGCAACGATCCCATTGCATAGCTATGTTGGGCAAGGTAGCTAGATCAGCGCTTTGGTTTCTCGGGCAGTTTATTCACTTTTTTGATAAAATTTTGTAACTGAACCCCACTGGCATAGGGTTTCGACTCTTTTTTATGAAGGGTTTTGTATATTGTATATTTAACTGCCTCCGTGGCCGAACGGTTACCATGCCGGACTGCCACGCAAGAGAGACCAGGTTCGATTCCCGGGCCAGGAGAAATAGTTGTATGGCCTACAATTATTTCTCTCGTGAGTTTGGGTGTAATTTGTGGTTGTTTATGTGTGTGTCCATGGCACCCGCGACACAGGGTTTCCCTAGTGCGGGGCTATGTTAAGTGTGTGCGTTATTTATTTATTTGGATGAAATAAATGTAATTTCCTTTTATTATAGTTTATGTCTACATATGCAATCTCATACATTAATAGGTACAATTATTTTAATTTCACTTCATAATATCCAAGTTTGCAATATGCACTATTTGTTAAGTAAAACAATATACAATTGAGTTCTTAGATTTTCGCAATTTAGAAATAGAACTATTTTTCGGATCTAATTTGCGTACCTATACTTGTTTTTTCGTAAAAACCAACATGTCGGGCCCTTTACAAGTTCCATGGTCACGACAGACTACCAGCAGAAAAACAAATACACGCTATTTAGAACCGAAATAATAGTTTTATACCGACAATACACAATCGTTTATTTACATTATTTTAAAGCGTGAAAATGTTGACAGGTGGATCGGTGTTCTTCCATACCTACGCCATTATAGGATAACGGTGTGTCATTTGTTTGAAAATTGCTACCGATCCCATGTAATTTGCGATCCCACCCATTCTTATACAATAACATTCGCATCAAGTAATTTGCTTTCGCTAACCTTTATTTCAAGAGCATTAGATTTCACTACGACGTATTTGATGTTAATTACATTACCGTAATGAGACTCCATCTGTTTTCACGTAAATATTCTTATTCGTATAAGCTTTTGCTTAACAACCAGTCCCTTATATATTACAATTAAAATACGGTGTGATTTTTAACAGGGGTAGTATGGGGAATTCAGGAAGGAAAAAAACTCATTTTGTATGAAAAAACTTTTTATTCAATTTGAGCCATTTCCGCTGTCCCGAATTTTTCTTCCAGTAAAACAAAATGATCTTAATATGAAACTAAGTCTATCAGAAAAAAAGTCAATTCTATTCATTTTGTATGAAAATCATTTTATTAATTTTTGCTGACCCGATTCAATGAAGTGATCCTTCAAATCATATCAGATCCTACAAAGAAAAACAATTTTATCCATTTTTAAGGACAACACACGCTGGACCACAAAATTGACAGTGCCAATATTGTTTTCACAAAAAAGACTTCATGCTTTCTAGCACAGTATTCCTGTATCTTCTACAGGATCTCTGGATTTCCCCACCTGTCCCAATAAAAAAAACACACTGTATAGTAATCTTTTCATGCTCACGTAGCCGTAGGCTAAATTTTGACCTCGGTGACCCAACTATAGGCGTTGGATAAAGAAATTCCGGGTTCGATTCCCGTTAGGACAAATGGGGATTTTTTTTCTAAAATGGTTCTGGGTAGTGCCCTAGAGTACATTACGTTGCTCTGATACTCATAGCATAGGAAATTTTCTTCTTTCAGACCAGGTAATTGCTATGTTGGGGGACATGACGTGTTAATATGTTTTATATGCAGTAAACATGTACGTTGCTAGGCGCTTAAAACAAATAAAATATCTCTTATTCCTCTATAATCTAACTATACAGTGGAAACTAGATTTTCTTCTACTATTTTACATTGTCATTATAGATTCCAACTTATTCTTATACCATTAAATATTCTGTCTTCTCTGATGCTGTATTTAAATTGTCCGTATAGACGTTATATGTATTTTTGTAGTAAGTCCCTTTGAGAACGCCTAAAGTAAACCTACATAACGAAATTAAAGCCTCTCGCTTTTTATGCTAATACAGTCAATATCAAAAGTAAATCAGTTTATTTTGGGAATCAAAAATCTTGTAATTATGTAATATTTCATAATAATAATGTGACAAGAAATTCAGGACAATAATAAAATCATAATCGTGGGAAGAAACCTGTTACTAGTGATAAAGACACCAGATTATAGCACCAAGTTGCTTTTGAAATTGGCTGTTTATAATAATATTTTGCAAACAACATTGCATTAACTTGATATTGTTGACAGGTGCCCGGCAGCAGTGCATTAGCGGCAGCGGCAGCAGGCGGCACCTGCGGTGCTCACTCTGCACCATCGGCATGCTCGGTAATTATTGCTTCTACATTTATTATTGTTATATCTCCTACAGTGTTAACGTATATGGTTTTTGAAAAGGTTGAATAACTGACTGAAACTTTGGAAGCTCATTTTTTTGATGTATAGAATTAATTTTGCTATTTAATCATTCACACGAGAGTTGATCTTTGTTTCATTGCATGCTTTCCACGAGACGAAATTTATTATTAATGTCCATAATCTAACAAAGCCAAGGAAAATAGCTGACTTTCAATGTTTCGACATCTTTTCGTAGTTCAGTCGCAACATCGAAATTCTATTGGTTGCTGAAACCAAGCAAGCTACTACGTTGCATGTTAATATGTAATGAGTTTGACCCTTAAATACTATTGTCATTTTCATAGTACACTATACCTACAATTTTCACCGAGTCAGTGTACCACATATCGATGAATTTGAAACATTTTTACCGTTTCTATTTTATTATTTAATTTTGATCTTTGTTGTATCAAGCAATAATATTATTAGATCATAATGAGATTTATTTGTGGGACTTATTTCAAGATTAAAAGTGTCCTTACTGATAACGTCGATTATAGTCATGTTGGATTAAAAAAAAATACTTTTAAAAGGTAATATAAAATTATATTTGTTAAAAATCTTAAAAACTAAGAATAAAGGAACATAAAATTGTTGAGGAAAAAAAAACATGAACAAAAACATACATACTTTAGCCTCTCAAGTCTCTAGAAGTCTTAAAAAAATTACACAATCTAGGACCTTTTTGGCTTTGATTTTTTTAATAAGAAAATAAATGCGCATTTGACCGCGATCTCACCTGTATACCTGTAAACCTAAATAATGCCTATTCGGTCTCGCCTTGACTTTTCAAGGCTCAAATTATAGCATTCGGGAAATAAGTCTGCAGGCAGTGAATTCCACTCCATAGCCATTCGCCATATAAACGTGGAAACGTTGGAATATTAGCATACGTCTAATAACGCTCGATGATGGAAAGGGGAAGGTAGAATTAAACCACGACCAGACTTGTGATTGGTACAGCTTTAATTATTTGGGGCACATATGGAACAGACAACAATGCGATATTTTTCATATAAAAAAAACATTGTAGGCATGACATCGAACGCGTAAGGTATTAAGACGTAACAAATTATGATAAAAAGAAAAGACAAAATCTCAATAAATTGATATCATATTTTTGACATAAACTCAAACAACGTAAGTACAAAATCAAAACAATATACTACTCGTATAAATTTAATGAGTTTTTAGTTATTACCTACAGAAAAAAACTTACTTGAGTAAAAATTACACCGTTTAATACAATTATGGGTCTGTACGGACCCGTGTTTATTAAAAACTTGAAAATGAAAGAAAATGCGGCAATATCTTGTCACTGTTTGGCAGACACTGACGAATTAGGCAGGTACACGGTAGGAGGGGATGGTAACTTTTTAGGTGCGTTTAGTATAAACAAAAATGTGAATCATCATGGGTCCGTACGGACCTGTATAGTATTTAAGGGTTAAGAATAAACAGCTATTTTGAAACTTTTCAAAAATACTGCAATATTTTTTTTTTAGTTGGTATAAAAAAATTATTTGCTTTTCAATTTATTTTCAGCCACCTGCTTGGACACAGAAATTATAATAAATTTTGCAACTGCAACTATGTATGTTATGGATTTTGACTGTAACAAATATAAAATGATTGTCAGTTACAGTTACTTCAAAGTATTCACTGTTGTAATTAGTCATTATTCAGTTATTAATGCGTTTTTTTGTTCTATATTATTATCTGAAAGGCGACCTCCCACGGTCCGTAATTTTACCGAATAGCACTCCCCCACGCCTCATGGGAAGAGACTCGTCCGTGGTAACTCAGACGCGTCCGTAGAGATCTATGAATCAATGCGTAGTGAATGTGCAGCTAATTAAAATGAACGGCGTTGCAATGGGTATCTGCAATAAGCTTATTAGTGTTACGAAATGGGCCCTGGTGAGATGTCGTCGTCGTCAGTGCGAGAAAATCTGTAAATTTACGCATCTTGTAAGGCCACCTTTACATTTTACCATTGTATTTGCATTTACAGCATTGTTAAATATTCGCTTTTCTTCCTTGTTGTAGGTACAGTTGTGCTTGAATATATAAATTTTTTATTTTGCTTTTAATAAAGAGTAATAGCAGAAATATTACGACTCACCATATTCATTAAATTATTTATATTGTACGCATTTATTTTAAATAGATACCTGGTTACTTTGTGTAATATTTATCTATATTTAGTTATTATATATTTACAAGTGCTTCTTGATGAGGTAACATTTGTCGAGTTAAAAACAAGTTGCTAAGAGTTTTATTATTATTTTGATAATATATTCTCTCTTCTAAGAAATACATTTTGAATTATTTGATGGAAGAGGCGGGAATTTTGGCATAGGCACAATTGACTGAGGTCTTAAGAACTAGCAAACGATACGTGCCGGATACGACACGTTGCTGTTCGATAGTAGTACAGCCTTCTATGTCTGTGTACTGGAAGCGATATGGCGCAGCAATCCAACCGCCTTATGTCGTTGCACTAGCTGGAATCAAGTCGTATGCGGATAATACCTACAATAGGAATTATTTTATTAAAGGTCACATCCCATGCCACATCGAGATACATGCGACATTTGTCGGTTTCGGCTTTCATGGGAGCCTTATCATGTAGGATTGTGAAGTACACAAGAAATACCCTTAACTGCGGCCCATCTAATACCAGAATGTCAGGCTTACATGTAAGAATGATGCTGTCCGTGATAACAATTCGGTCCTTGTAAATTTATTGCTATTATTGTTGTGGTGGTTTATTTAGGAGCTAATATTAACACGAAATTGCTACTCATGACTTTAACTTCACAATTTGAAACTTTTTTCCTTAAAAATTTGCTTCTTACAAACCTCGTTCAAAATTGATTAGCCATAGGTCTCTTGTATCAACGAGCAGCCTCTAGAATTTCCCAGTGGAAACATTTGCGGGTTACAGCTTTTGAATTAAGTATTAGTTGACTTATGGAACTTAAACATAGTGTCCGTTAACGTGTCTGGGTATTTCATTTACATATTAAGTTGTTCAGTATATTTTATGTTAGATTTTATTATTCGTCAATAAATAAACGACTCTTAGCAGCGATGCAAACGCGATGCAGTAGCGATGCAGTCGTTAATCGTCGACGTTTACACACGCGCGCGATTTTAAGCAAAGATGCAAACGCAATGCAGTCACGCGCTTGTATTGATGCAATCGCCTATAAATCGCAAGTGTGGCGATGCAATCGCGCATTTAACGTACGCACGTTTGCATCGCTGCTAAACGTTGCCGTGTGTAATCACTCTCATATGGCAACTAGAATATATACACATTTTTTTAATGGTACTAAGTGACGTGACAAACTATTCGTACGCCTAGAGGTAAGCAACACGCCTGTCCATAGCAGTTGCAGTGCCACTCACAGATTTTAATCGCAAAGATCTGAGGGACACTGCCACTGCGCCCGTCACCCTGAGACGTAAGCTCAGAAGTCCCGTATGCTTGCAATTTCACCAGTACCCTTTACCTTAGAACCGGAACAGCTTGAAATCTTAGAACTAAATGATAATGTGTGTTAGTTCTTCTTCTTTTTATGAACATGGCATTCTGTAGCAGAATGTCAGCGGCGGCGTTGTGAAACACTCCGCTGTTGTGCTACAAAGTTGTGCTACACTATTGTTACTAAACATTGTGTAGAGCTTATATTTATTTTTTCTTATTAATGTGTTGAGATAAATAAACGATTTTATTATTATTATTATTACCATTACTGTTACTATTACCATTATTATTATTATAACCATAAGAGATATTGGCACTTGTTTTTTTTTAAATGTCAACTACGCTTATTTTGCTTAACAATAAAACTGAAACTAAATAAGATATAAAAGAACTGCTCATAGAGGGGTTGTAGATCGTGTACCGCTGATCTCAGATATGTTAATAACTCGATTTTGCTAAAAATGTCGATTGCGTTAATTATGATAAGGAGAACAGTATTACCCTTAAAATATTACCAGTATCGAATTATCGTGACCGGCCTTTGTTACAAGCATCGAGTATATAACCAGGAATGAGACGGAACATTACGGTGACAACTGCGCTCCGATTGGCCAGACCGAATTCGAAACAATTGACGGGTGCCGTCATTTGTTTCACTTCAAATCGACCAGTTTAACTTGAGCTTTGCTATAATGGACCTTAATTGCAAAATTACAAATTTAATATTTGTAATGTGTTTTAATGTTTGAAATGTGATTCCGTTTGTTTTGTAATTAGATGTTTTGCTGTTTTTCCCACACCACCGAATGGAACAGCCCCCATTGTTATAGATATTATATTTATTACAATAAATACAGAATTTTTTTGGAATATACAGAGGCGTACACACAGGTCGGGTCAGTTGTTGGCGCTGGTTGTACTATTTCAGCTTTCTAATTTGTGATTTCAGCGCAAACGAGAGTTGTTATTTTTTTATATATAAGACTTTTGTCTTATATCACTTTTAAATATCAACTCTCGTTTGCGCTAAAATCATCCATTTGCCTGATGAGTTGCCAAGGATGATGGCCTTTATTAAATAAGATCCTTACGAAATGTTTGTCTCTATTTTTGGTTATATACTCGAACGTTACAACTGTTACAAGGTACAAAAGCAATTTTTTTTTCTTAGTCAATTAGCTAAGTTAGTAACTACGATTTTAATGTGCCCCATTATAGTTTAAGATCTTCATCTTAGGTGCAAACTATATACCGATGAAGTACTAAAACTCAGTTTAGTTCAAAGTATTACTTTGGATCGTACATAAACACGTAAACGACGTTGAAATGACCCAAGTTCGTGTTTTGTTAAACTCCAGGGAGCTTGTAGAATAATTACTTAACTAACATTTATTATTCCGTTTATTATTAGAATTCTTAATAAATAATGAATACG